AAGCACAAGAATATCAAAGAAGAAAGAGTGAGACACTATACCTGAGAAGTTATGCGAATAGTGAAGAAGCTTTAAGGTAAGGAAGAAGAAGCGCAACGTAATAGAAGTAACAGTAGATCAATAACCAGCGTAAAGAAGACCTTCAAGCAAGAGCATGCCCCCCTTTTAAAGAAGAAAGGAGCGCAAGGTGGCACTCGCACGAATTACCCCTTGATATTCCGACCGTCAGATGTCGTAATCGTCATTTAGCTGGCGGTTGAGATGAGGGGCATAATGGTAATTTCAAGGTGATATGACACCTTACACGTCGCGTTAATGCGCCGTGTCTCGAAATAATACAACTGCTTGTAATAATGGAGAGTCCATCATTACAACGTGCACGAAAACCGAAGAGACACCCTCCGCGTCAGCAGGACGAAAGACCTGAAGTACCCCTGGAAGCGTGAAGGACAAAACCGTTGGTCTTTTAATACCAATCAGAGACGCCCAAAATCCCTGACTAGGCGATATCAGCCCAAGAACGCCCAGTAGTTACGACCAGGCGCCAACGCGAGTCAGCTACGATATTAGAGCGGCGACACCGCTCATGAATCTCCCAAAAGGTAACGCCCAAAGACAATAACTTGGCACCATCCAACGCATGCTACCAAGCTGGGGGGCTCCTGTTCCGGATGACCCAAACACTGGTACAGCCCAACTGGCTAGGCCCAATCCTCAACCTCAACCCACGTCAGCCCTAAGGGATACACCGAAATGCCCCATCTTGGGATGCTAACCACCAAAGGCGCCAGCCACAGGCACCCTAAAGGAAAAACTACCCTCTGCCCAGTGCTGACATCGCCAGACGCAGAAGGCGCGGCGCTGCCCAAAAGGCAGCGCCAAACACGCCCAACACTGCTATCATGGTAGTACATTCCAAGGAGGGTTGACCTCTCCTTACCAACCCGCACCATATCCTCTATAAATAGCCCCCATGGGCACAACTTAAAGGTATCTTATGTATCGTAATATTGCCCATTTACTTTAAGTCTTATTGCTTACTGCACATACCTATGGTCTTGCTATTGCTTGGCATAATACCTTTTAGCCTGGTCTGTACCTAAGCTAAGAGTATCTCCCATATAGTGACTCATCCCTAAAGGGAACATAATGAGCTTATAGATCCCTACGGTACATATATATATATATATATATATATATATATATCATCCATAAATTTATTATTCATCCAAGAATGTAAGTTTATTAATCTCCATGAAAACTCAAGTAAAATGGAGTTCGCTCACAACAAAGCTCCTTAGATTACTCCTAGAATTACTTTCCAAGCTTCAATGGGACAAATCACTTCTCCAAACTCCTTGAACTCAAGAATGACGCCACTTTTGGAGGGAGTTTTCTCTCCACTGTAAGCTATCTCAATGAGATTTGTTTAGTATGTTTGGCTAGAAATAATAAGGTGATCAATTTTCATGACCAAGCTTAAGTGTTTTGGTTATTAAATCACAACCTAGGATTCAAGCTTTCTCATAAAAGTCAAACTTTATAACTAGGTCAATTACCATTTTACCTTTCACTTAAACATTCACTAATCCATTACTTAATCATCTAATCATGATTTTAACATTCACTAATATCCTTAAATAAACTCTCACTCATTTTCAAGTTTTAGGTAAATTTTGCATAATTGTTTTTTTACTTCAAAACTTTCACTATTTGTGTTTTTCCTCGAAAAGTGACTAAAGTCTCATTATTAAAATTTTAATCTAATTACACTATCATAACCATTAAATAATTCCTAATTACTCATTTTACTAGTTTAAGTTATTATATTCACCCTATAAAATGGCTCAGAAGATGTGATAGTGTTATTCTTATGTTGGTGGTTTTGGCCTTGACTCATGACCTAATTGAGTTTTTTGCTAGCTAAGCAGCCTAAGCTCAAGCTTCTAATTTTTATGTTTCAAGCTTGATTTATGCTCGGAGCCTGAGGAAGTTCATTTGACTTCACATCTGTATGCAGTAATATAAATCCTTCCACAAATTGATGTAAAGAGTCTCAAACATGGCTACTAAAATGATTTGAACTATATGTGGCTAGTGTACAATGTAATTTTCATCTATTTCCATGTACTGTACTTCAGTTGTATGAATTGAGTGGTTTAGTAGGCTTCAATTTTTTTTGCTTAGGGAGGCATGTTGATCATAGTTGATTGAAATTTTCATTTTTAGGTCATTTGGTTTATTATGCCGGCAACAAGAAGACCTCAAACAAATCACAAGAATAATGTTCTTGCGTTGATTGTTTTGCTCTAATATGTTCATAGATTATATATATATTTTTCCATTAAGTTCTCAAATAATCAAAGCAATAGAAGTGGTTATGAAGATTGCCTGGGCAGGAGCTGCATATAATCTGCTATTATATATGCTAGCTAGCCATGTATATAGTTTTGATTGCTTCTATGTTTCCCTTTTAAGTTGTAATTTGGGTGTGACAAAACAAGTCCCAAATTTTAAGTTGTATTTACATGCAGACCAAAGTTTCTGCTTAGTGAAAGAAATAATCATTAATTGCTATGTCTTTTTGAATTCAATGAAACATGTGGAACATGATTTTTGAACGAAACATGATTTTTGAATTATGCAAAAGTTAGTAGTTAAAAAGATCATAATTTTTGAATGATGGTACATATATACGATATTGAGGATAAAAAAAATTAATTTAAAATATTTTGTTTAAAATTATAATTGTTAGAATTATATAAATAAATTTAAAAAATTTAAAAATTAATTTTTAAAAATTTATATGATATTCTGTTAAAAGGGTATTTTAATATATTTATATCATATCTTGATGATATCTGATTCACTCTAAACACATGATTGGATAGCGTAATCCTATCATATTGTTAATCTAGTGCACGTTAAACATACATAGAAGGCAACATTTGTGCAGACTGGATAACGAATTTTATTCTAAACAATATTGAGGGTCCATATCATTTTGTGTGGGGAGAGCCTCCTCGTGGTATCCGTTGGTTGTATTTGGCTGATTTGGTTGCTGTGGGTCGCCCACGTATACTGGTCATCGAGTTGTCTTTTCTGTTTTTTTTTTCTTGTTTCGGCTCTAACCCTTTTTATTTACCAAAAAAAAAAAATCTAGTGCACGTCAAACAAATGACATGATATAAACATTTCTTTTAATTTTAATTTTTCTTTTATAGTGGGCCCACCAAAATTTGTTTGTGCACCAAATTTTTTTAGGGGAAGGATATACTTACCACAAAAATTTTTTATCATCTTCGTTGATTTTCGTCAATCTAACGGTTATAATTTATTGAAAATTATTGGATTATATTTATTAATTTATTAATTCTCAATAAATTGAATAAATTATAACCGTTAAATTGACGGAAATTAAATGATTAAATTAATTATAAAGTTGATAAACTTTTTTGATAGTAAACATATATGAGGAAGGATATTGTAACAATCAAGTTGTGTTACTACCATGTTACTACCAATCAATCTCACCGCTAGATCGATAATGTTGATCCAACGATTATATTTATTTCCATCTTTGTATGATTATGATTCCCCATATTTAAAGTGAAAGCATTAAATATGGGAAATCATAACCATACAAAGGTGAAAATAAAAATAAAGTATTAAATTTGGAAAATCATGACCATACAAATATGGAAATAAATATAACCGCTGGATAACATTATCGATCTAACGGTGAGATTGATTGGTAGTAACATGGTAGTAACACAACTTGGTTGTTACAATATCATTCTCCAACATATATAGATATATATATATATATATATATATATATATATGTATGTATATGTATATATATATGAGTGGGGATATTTTGACTACCAAAAGTGTCTACTACTACCTTACTACCTATCAAATCACCATTGGATCAAAGAGAGAGAATGTTAAAAAGTTTTTGAAGACAGAGAAAATGTTAATTCAATGGTGATTAGATAGTAGGGGTGTTCATCAACCGATCCAAACCGATTCAAACCGCAAAAACCGAACCGAAAAACCGATAACCAAATAAACCGAAAATCGAAAAACCAAAAATCGAAAAAAACCGCAAATTTTAATTGGATTGGATCGGTTTTCGGATGAGTTGATGAAAATCGATCCAATCCAAACCGATCCAATATATTAATTCTCATTTACCTACTTGGTCCTTTCATCAATCATAGCCTAAAAATTTCTAAACCCAAGATCCATTAACTCATCAACTAAACTCAAGAAAAAACTTAGTAACGTCTCATCAACTATAATATTGTTTACTAATATTTTTTGTATTTCAATTTTTTTTTTACAAATCCAATATATACAAAAGATGTTATTTGTACAATAATCATGAAACTAATTTTTTTTTTTTTGATAACAACATGAAACTAATTTTAGGATATTTGAAAACCGAAAACCGATCCAATCCAAACCGAAAAAAATTGGATTGGATCGGATCAGATCAGATTTGAAAAAAAATCTAAACCAAATGGATGATTACATGATCAAACCGAAGGGATTGGATCGGATGAGTTTTGCTTCCAAAACCGATCCAATCCAGACCGCGAACACCCCTATTAGATAGGTAGTAAGGTGGTAGTGGAAACTTTTGGTAGTCAAAATATCCTCCTCTGTATATATTTGTATATATATATATATTTAGGGTTCGCTTTTTTTACCGTAAACATAGATAACTTATCTACATTGAGCCCAAATTGACGTCGTTTTGAGGCAGAAATCAAGATATTTTTGTAATTATAATTTAGTTCAAGGTTATAATAGTCTTTTTATCATAATTTTTTAATTTTTCAACTCAAAATGATGACGTTTTGAGAGCGAATATAAATAACTTATCTACATTTACTTTAAAAACATTAAAGCCATATTATTTTTGTCGAGATATATTTCTCATAAATATAAATATAAGTTACAACAAAGGAACTCTAAAACCCTAGGCCAACCATTTCCTCTCCCTGCGCGCAGGCATCCATCCCAACCCAAACCAAACCAAACCAAACACCCCAGTTCGCTTTCCTTAATCTCTGTAACTCTTGTAATGTGATTGTAGCAGTCAGAGATATATAGACAGAGACAGAGACAGAGAGAGCGAGAAACACACACACAAGAAAACAAAAAAACATTTAAAGAAACAAATAAAAAGAAAAGAAAATAAAAGAAAGAAAGATTAGAGAGAGTCCTGCATTGGTAGATATTTTATAGTGGAAGAAGAAAAACAAGGATTTATGATAAGCAACTTCCTTCCTCTACCACCCAATTAACTTTCCTGTTCCCACTTGGATGGCTGACCCGAACCCGAACCCGAACAGGAACTCCTCCAACGGACCCTCCAAGCGCTTCAAGTCCAAGCCCTTCTACATCCCACCCGGCCACGTCGGCTTCCGCCTCCTCTGCCACGCCTCCCGAATTGGCGGCATCATCGGCAAGTCCGGCGCCGACATCAAAAACCTCCAGCAAGCCACTGGCGCCAAGATCCGAATCCAGGACGCCCCGCCCAACTCCCCAGACCGGGTCATACTCGTGATTGCCCCCGACGGCGACGATGAGGTTTCCGAGGTCACCAAGGCCCAGGACGCGCTGCTTAAGGTGTTCGAGAGGGTTCTCGACGTCGCTGCCGCCGACGAGGTCGGGGACAGGGTGGTGTCGTGCCGGCTGGTGGCGGACACTTCGCAGGTCGGTGGCGTCATCGGAAAGGGAGGGAAGGTGGTGGAAAAGATCAGGGAAGACACCGGATGTAGAATTAGGGCTTTGAATGATAAGTTGCCGGCGTGTACATTACCCTCCGACGAAATAATTGAGGTCAATGAGTTTCTCTGATTACTGAATTAATGTGTGTTTCGCCTTGCATAATTCGTTGGAATACTGCATTGTAATCATTAGGGTTTGGTAGAACTGGTTTTGTCTTGGATTGGATTATAGTGGATGTTGAATAGATGACTAACCATTATGCTACACAATTATTTAGGTAATCCATTGCATCTGTGATCCATTTAATGGATGGATATGGGACTCGTTTAGATATTAATTATAGGGAAGGTTCACCAATGCCCCTATGGTTTATTCACTCATGTCCATGTGATTTTTTTTTATCACATATGCGCCTGTGGTTTGCAAAAGGGTATGTTTTTCATCACATATGCCCTTGTGGTTTTTTATTTTTTACAAAGCACAGGGGCATATGTGATAAAAAAAAAGGCATAGATGATTATGAAGCAAACCACAGGGGCATTGGTGAACTTTTCTCTAATTATATCTATCTATTTATGCTACTTGAATTTATTTAAAGAGAGTTAATGACATTGTAGAACTAGTGATAATTTAGTTGTTGGAATCCAAATGTGAGAATCTTTAGAGAATTAATATCAATTAATGAAGGGTCCTCCTCTCTTTGTATTTTTCTTCCCCGCTTGTTTTGCTAATGAATTATGATGAAAAGAAAATGGTGGTATGTGAAAGACAATAATGGAGATGGTCAAATTGATTTTCAATTCTAATGGCGACAGAGAAAGAGAATGAGCATTTACTAGTGTGGTAAAATGGGAAAGCATAGCATGGTAAGTGTCAAGGCTTCACGACAAAATCCCTAGTCTAATCAAATCATGCTGTAAAGGCAAGTAATAAAATAAGTAGACGGTTAGTTGCGTAATAAATTCTTGTCTGTATACACCATGCCGTTCACACATATGGTCATGCCACCTGACTTGGTAACAATGGTTAGCTATGTCTTCTTGTCTGTATCCATCGGGTCATTCACACATATGGGCATGCCACCTGATGTGGTAACAATGGCTAGCTCAAGTGAATTTTTTGTATGGGCCTTCCCTGGGGCCAAACCCGAATAGATTCATTGGTCGAAGGAAAATTTGTACTGTGTTAGCTTGGTCAGTTCCATTTTGCTTTGTTTTCATGAACTAGCCATTGAAGCTGATTCCCTCATGTGGATATCCAATGGATTTTCTAATCAGTCCTTTTTAATCACCCATAATTTAAACTTGATCCAATTAAACCAGCCCATTATAATTATTATAATAATTGAATAGACTATGAATTTTTGAATTTTTGAATTTTTTTCCCCATCTGTGGTAGTCTTTGAGGCTTAGAGTTAAGAAGCCATGATAAGGGATCCTTTCTATTATTAAAGTACAATTTGAACCGTGGTTAGTGGTTACTAGTGTCCTAAGGTTGCTGGGAAGGTCTAGTGTCTTGAGGGCCCCTATGGGTTTCTATTATTTTTTGAGGGCACCTTTTTTGCCTTTGATTACCTTGTATGCAATGTAAGACATGACTTCAATTTCATGCTTAGGGTTGAACATTTTCCAACTCACTGATTAATGGGCATTTGAATTTGATGAACGAACTTCATTTGTGCTGTCTATTTTTTTTTTTTTTTATGCTGAGAAAATATCTTTTGGGGTTGTGTCAGATAGAAGGCAATGTGTCATCTGTAAAGAAGGCCCTTGTTGCTGTCTCTCGTCGGCTTCAAGATTGTCCTCCAGCTGATAGAACGAAGATGATAGGAAGCAGACCCTATGAAGTAATTCAGCATGAAACTTTTGCAGTTCCATACGAGAGTTTAACCAATCTGCATATAGATAATCGTCTGCAGAGGAACTCTGTCTTGTCTACCTCATCCAGTAGGTCTAATGGCAATGCCTCTGGAGTTCATACATTGTCAGCTGAAGTTAATAGGGTCTCAACCCTGGATCCAAAAGCACTTAAGCAGGAAGTTACTTTTAGAATTCTTTGTTCCAATGATAGGGTTGGTTGTGTAATTGGAAAGGGCGGCTGCATGGTAAAAGCTCTTCAGAATGAAACAGGGGCTGCTATAAGTTTTGGTCCTTCACTTGTTGAGTGCGACGATCGATTAGTTACTGTTAGTGCTTCAGAGGTTTGTTAAATATGATATTTTTTTGCTTTTGCTTCTGTTCTGTGTCTTGTATTCTTGTAAGTGTATCATTATCAGTACTGTTCTTTTTAATTTTTCTTTTTTTGGTCGTTTCAGTTTTGGCAGAATCCAGAATCAAGAAATTCCCCAGCACAAAAGGCTGTTGTGCTTGTTTTCTCGAAGTCTGTTGAGGCTTTTGGGTCATCTGTTACTGCACGACTTGTAGTCCCATCAAACCAAGTCGGTTGTTTGTTAGGGAAAGGAGGAGCAATTGTCTCAGAAATGCGAAAGACCACAGGGACTAGCATAAGAATAATTGGGAATGGCCAGGTTCCAAGGTGTGCATCAGATAATGATCAAGTAGTACAGGTATGGAGATGATTCGTTATTTGGATTTACAATCAAAAGATGCTGAAAAAATGCTTTTATTTTTTCAACTCATTATTCTGTGTATGGTGCAAGTTAAAGAAACCTTTTGCCCCTTAGACCAAAAAAGTTTTCTCATTGCTCATTGTGCAAATTTGATGGTGTCAGCTACACCTCTTTCCTTTTCTGCAAAAATCCTGAACCGTTATTACCATGTAACATCTGATATCATTTTAAGATATATACGACTCCACTCTAACCCTGGTATATCCTGTAAAAATATTGGTTATCTCTATTTCTGTGAATATAGGTGCATGCTTCTTACTTGTTGACTTCTTGATTTTGGGCTCTCTTAACTCAGATTGGGGTAAAGGGAAATGGAAAAGAAGAGTGTTCCTAGAGAGTATAAGTGAAAGATTAATACCAGGCTACTTCCTATACAAAGAAATTGCTTCTTCCAGCTTAGACACAGTTTGTAGGATATGTTTGAGTCGGTGTTTATTTTCTAGACTAGTAATACATGAGTAACGCCCATAGGACAAGCTTGAAGCCACCTCCGGCTTATTCTGATAAATATATGCTATTATGCTTATTCGATAAGAACTAGTTGCTATAGAAAAAGTTTAGCTTGGTCTAAATTCTTGTTGCAATTGTTGATCATTTAGGGTATATTTGGTATATTTTATAAGGCTTTTGTTTCATATCTATGTTGTCAAAGGAGAGAGTATGATACAAACCGAATGTTGTATTACAAAGAAAGAGGAATAACGCTCAAGTACAATGGATCAAATCACTCAAAGCAAGATAAAATAAAGGCATAATACTGCAACATTTCAAGAGTCTACAACCTTCCTGCCCAAAGGCCTTAAAACTCACTCATTTTGTGATGTTCTCTCTCCTACCTTTCTGTCCCTTTTATCTTTTGCCTCTAACTTTTTTCCCTTTCTTTCCACTATCATTGCCGCAAGGTTTTTCCATCCCTAAACCAATGAAATACCTCCCTTGGGGTCCAACTACTTGAAATGTAAGCCGTAAGCATAATAACTTCCACTGAGATCCCATTGCTCTTGTACACTAATTCCCTCATCACTTCTTATCACAAGAAGAGCGTTTAACGCACTGTCACCTATAACAATGCTCTCTTGGCCATATGCATGCAAACCTTACAAAGGCATTGGGAGTTGAACCATACACCAAGGCACCACTTACATGTACCCTCCGTTGACAATTCTAGGGGAGGATGCAATAGAATAGTAACGAGGTTGTAAACTAGGGGCTATTGTTGCAAAAAGCACACCGATGGGTGGTTTTCCTGATGGAAACTCAACCATTACCTCAAAGAGACTTCTTTGAACCCTAAACACCCCTTTTTCATCGGTCCCCTGATGAGATGAGAAGAACTTTATTCTTTCCTCTTTACTAGGTTCAGAAGCATGAGCAGCAAAACTAAAGCCGCCTTTCGTGGAGGGTTCAAGAGATTTCATAATATTCTAATCCTGCGTGCAATATGAATGAATCAGGGAAAGGAAGTAACAGAGAACCTCCTAGGGAAGGCCATCCTCTGATGATGAGACTTCTTTGATCCCCCAAACACCACTTTGGAGTACTCATCGATCCCTTGATGAGATGAGAGGAACTTTAATCTTTCAGCTTTACTAGGTTTAGAAGCATGAGCGGCTAATGGAACTAAAGCTGCCTTTCGTGGGGGGTTCAAGAGATTTGCATAACATGCTAATCCTGTGTGCAACATGAACAAATCAGGGAAAGGAAGTAACAAAGAACCTCCTAGGGAATTCCATCCTCATTCTCAGTGTGAAGAGAAAACAACAAATTTAAATTTTGTCCCAATAAATACCTTCCCAACTTCAACAGTTTCATCATAGTTCTCAGCATAAAAACGGAGTCTCGAGTTTCATATGTTGTTCCAGTCCCTGATATATCACTCTCCAAATGTATGCAAGGATGGTTAGACTTAGGTTTGTGAAGCCTTTGAACAACAACATTCACCTTGCAAGGATGATTAATATCAAATACAACATTCCCATTCATCACGTTTAAGTGGTTATCATAGGGTGATGTAGGTTTGTGAAGCTCCCTTTGACCAGCAACATTCACCCTGCGATGATGATTAATGTCATATAAGAAATTCCCATTTGCCACATTTAAGTGATTATCACAGGGTGATGTGATATTAGGGTCACAGTTCACTACTTGCTGTTCAAGAATAGCAGTTGTATGGGGGGTGGACACAATATTTACATCACCCTCAATGTATTGATCATCATCCTCAAGTTTTGATGTTGCTGCAAGTTTGTCACTTTCGGCATTCACAGGGCCTGTCTTCTTCCTAATATATGTCACTATTGCATCTTTGGTTCTATGGCCAGGGTAAGACTTGTGAACTCTATCAATGAAGAAATTGACAGTGGGGAAACTCTGAACATTGTACTCGTGGGTCAATTTGTTCTCCTCTACGACATCCATATGAATAATATTGTTGTTGAGTCCACATTTCTGGGCCACATGAGACTCTATGTTTTTGAGCTGCTGGCTTCCCTTGCCGCATCAACAGTGCCTTGGAACTATTTTAATTTGACTGTGGCGATAACCAACTTTGCTGAGTTAGATATAAAGGCAAATATGATTTTTGTAGCCTCGTATGATGTTTTATCATACAATTGGTCACCGATATTTTGAAGATTATCAACATTCAACGTAAGAATGAACTCCTTAGTGTGTTGAGCCTTGGCCACCTCACTCCAAACATCTTTGTCAATTCTGAAAGCAAAATCAACCGCTCTATCAGAATTATGAATATTGTCCAGCAATACATTGACAGCTTGAACATTCTAGTTGAGCTTCTTGAAGAATGCAAATGCTTCCTCAAATAATTGAGCTTTTATAGCCATTCGAAATCCTCTAACAGCCTCAAATAAACCGAGGACACGAAAGCTTACCTTGCAAGCTAACAATCCAAAGTCAAGAGTCCAATTAGCAATCCAAGGTTCACCAAACAGCAAAAGAACAGTCTGTTTATGCTAGAAATATCATTAATATTCATAGTCTAGAGTTTCATTGCATAAGGACAACATTTCCTTTTTTGTTTAATGATTATCGGCTTCTCCCAAAGCCTTGATAATGGGTTATTTCACTTTTATCACTAAAACACCTCTAGGACAAGCCCACACTGATTCATTAAGGTCTTATATTGTATTTAAGGCTTCCCAACTTGTTACAATTGATTTTAGGCTCATTCTGCCAAAAGTATTCGAATACTCCTCGATAAGTATTCGAATACTTTTGTTCCGAGAAAAGTATCCCAATTCTTTCACTAAAGTATCCTAATACCACCAAGTATCCCGATACTTTCACTAAAGTATCCGAATACCACTATGTATCCTGATACTTTTACTAGAGTATCCGAATACCACTAAGTATCCCAATACTCCACGATAAGTATTCGAATACCAAAAGTATCTCAATACTTTTTCTAAGGTATTCGAATACCAGCAAGTATCCCAATACTTTCACTAAAGTATTCGAATACTGCCATTCCCAGAAAAGTATCTCAATACTTTTCAATAAGTATTTGAATACCAGGCAAGTATCCCAATACTTCACGAAAAGTATTCGAATACTTTTCAGACAGAATGCAGAAACTCGTGTAGTTTCTGCATAAACTCGATTTTAAGGGTTCAAATTCGATTGGGAGTCCAATAACTCCATAAACAGAAGTCCATTAAGGTATTTTAAACATAGTTCCTCAACCATTAACTCATATAATCAAAGTTTCCTCATTTAGTGGCTTAATCAAGCTTAATTCATGAATATTCAAAGATGGTGATCAAAGTTTACCTTAGGACTCTTAAACTCAGAAAAGGACACTGCCTTGGAGCTTCCAACAATGCTTAAAGGTTCTGACTTTAAAGGACTACGAAAATACACCTCAAGCTTGGTCTTTTACCACTCAAAATAGCTTCTTGACACCACCAAGGACATGAACATGGCTTCCCCAATGAAAACTCCTATACACAACCATTAAACCCCTCAGCTCAGAAGCCTAAACTCAGTAATGAGTGGCCTCACACCCTCAAAAAGGCTTGGTCTCACACACCTAAGCTATTTTGGTGAAGGAAGTATGCATAAAGATGATCACTTGGAGGGTTCAAAGAGGAAGAAAGCTATGAGATGGTGAAGAAGAAAGGAGGCAGCAGCTGAGCCTCCATAAACTCATGTAAGAAACAATAAGAATTAACCTAGGTCTTTGTGCTAAAGGTTATTTATAGTCTCGTTAAGTCTAACCACACTGTATTAGCACTAATAGTTACGCTTATCATTTTAATCCCAAACTTTGGATTCTGATCCTAGCCATTTTTCTAGGATTTATCATATTTTTATATTATTTTTCGCAACACTTTGCCGGTACGCTCTTTTACGAAGCCGGTATCAGTTCTGACACCAGTTCTCATTATTTTGACTTCAAACTTGTTATACTAGTCCTATATATTATTCTAGTAATATATACACACTTTTCATAATTTTCCGGGATACTTCATCGGTACGCATTTCTACCGTGAGGCAGAACCGGTATCTGCACTTTTCGCCAAAAAAGCGACTTTCAATATTATTAATCACTTATCATAATTATTTAAGCCTTCTCATAATTATTAGGGTCAATTATGAAATTATCTCATTAATCTCATAATTAATTAATTAAATTCCTAAATTAACGGTGCAGGTTCTTACAACAAGCTCTGCCCATTTCAAGATCTTAGAAAATCTCCACATGAGCAAAGGAGGCCCTTCCACCTTGCGTGAATTAATTTATCCTCCCCAATGTGCTGATGACATACCCTTTAGGAAAGATTCTGCAAGTATTTAAGTGATACCTGCGGATGGCACCGGATGAGTTTGCACCGGAAAGTTTGCCTCCTCAAGGGACTCTTGTTCTTAAAGAGAATGCCCACTGCATTTGGTAAATATAGCAACCAAACCTTGCCTTAAATTCGGTTTAGGGTCAGGTCGAATGGGTGCAAAATTCGAGTTTGTTTCTTTTGTTATGGTTCTGATTAGGTCAGGCAAAATCGTGGGTTACAAGCCTAATCTGCACATAAGACAAGGATTTCACTGGATTTGGTCTAAAGCAATGTATCAACAATGTGGGCCTGACCATATTTGGCCCCATTTTTTTAATGTGCACTGCTCCTTGACCTAACTTGATTCTCTTCTCTTTTTGGAATGCGCCGCTGATTCCTTCTCTTTTTTTTAATGCATAGCCGTTAATTCCCTTCATAGCTGTATTGATAAAACTCCTTGCGAAGGTTGAAGTCCGGTGGCTCGACTGATGGTGGTGGGTTGGTACCTCCGCTAGTGACGGTGGCATTACTGGCCCTTGCGCACCCTTTGCCTGAGCATGGTCATTCATCAACTGTTTCTCTTAATCTTCGGGTTTTTCTTGCAGCTTTTTCTCATCCAGGTATTGAAAAGAACTTCCGATCTCCTCAAACATACCATGGTTTTCAATCCAAACACCATGGGTCTCCATCTTCTCCACAGAATTTCTCTGCATCTCCATTTTCGGCTTTGGGAGATATGATTTTGCTTCCTAGTCCCAAACGCATAAATCCAAATGAAACTCTAGTTGGAATTGCTCAAGAAGTGTCTTCGCTGTATCCCACTAACTTGCATTCAAATTGCAGTCATTCCAACACAGGTATTAAATGCGAGCAAATACTTTCAGCGCCTTCATTATAAGAAGCTTCTCCAATTAGCGGTTCCCTCTACCCTGGTTGATGAGCCACCAATGGGCTTCTTCTCATTCAAACTCCGAAATGATCTATAGTTTGATACCACAATTTCTATATTGAGAGCTCTGATACCAATTAATAGGAATCAAATGTTATATTACAAAGAAATATGACTAAACCCCAAGTACAATGGATCAAATCACTCAAAGCAGGATAAATTGAAGACAAAATACTGCAGAACGTCAAGTGTTCGCAACCTCCCTGCCCAAATGCCCCAATACTCACTCAGTCTCTGGATGCTTTCGCCCCTACCTTTCTCTCCCTTCTAACTTTTCTCTTAACTGCTTTCCCTTCCTTTTCACTAACCTTGCCATTTAGGCAAGGTTGTTACAACCTCAATTCCTTTTCTGTCCTTTTAACAGTAGTGTAGTTTCTAACAGGGTATCTTAGTGTAACTGTTAAAATATATTTATTTATCCTGTTCAACATTAAGAGTGAGGTATTGGCATAGCATATAGTTACTATGATGGTTTATGCTTTAACCCTGATAGAAAACATTTCCAAGTATTATCATCTGCTTTCTGGAGCTTTTTGTTAAGGATCTTACTCACTTCCTTTTTTTCCCAAAGCTTTATAATTTGTATTTTATTTCCTTGTAAATTCTTGTTTTGTTTTAAAGTAATAAACTGTTAGGGTATGCCTTTTTAGTGTGTGTATCAAGGTTTACTATTATGGAAAGCTGGATTCTGTCTTAGTATTAGATTCAGTGTTTACTTTTTAATCTATTCTTGTATGTCTAAACATGGTATTTGTTTATCCCTCATACAATACATTTTCCCTTGAGAGCTATATTTGAAATGTAAGCCATATTTATCTTTTTTATGGAGAGTCAACATTAACAACACCTTTATCCCAAACTAGTTGGTGTCGGTGTAGATGAACCACAAAAAAAGGTACAGAAAGATTGAGAAAAAATGATAAAAATAAACTTTAAGTATATATATAATATTATCCATACAAAAGTAGTACACAATTATAAGAAAAAATAAAATAAAATAAAATACAAATAAGGATATATAGGGGGACAGAAAAGAATAAGAAGGTATGAAATAAAAAAAATAAAAAAAATAAATAGATAAATGAAATAAAAATAAAATAAAATAACATAGAAAGGAATATAGGGAAAAAAGAAAAAGAAAAACACATAAATAAATAGGTAAGAGAAAAAAGATTGAAAGGAAAAATGGAATAAAAGAAAAGAAGGAAAAAGAAAGAGAGTTGTTCTGGAACATAGGAATAAAATCGGATCTACCCTTCCATCATGCTTATAGCTTTTCTCCATTGCTTCCTGAGACACCGTCTGCCAATTTATATCCCACTTCATTAAGTCTTCTTTTACTACCTTCCCTCAAGTAAGTTTCGGTCTACCTCTATCTCTCTTTATGTCAAGCTCTTGGTAACAAATCTTTGTTCTTACGGGAGCATCCAATGACCTTCTCATTACGTGCCTAAACTACCTCAATCTATTTTCTCTCATCTTTTCCACCACCGGTATTACTCCCACCTTTCATCGAATATCTTCATTTCTTTTTTATCCATCCTCGTATAACCACACATCCACCTTAACATCCTCATTTCCGCTAATCCCATTTTAAGCTCATGTTACTTTTGTGCTGACCAACATTTAGCTACATATAACATTGCAGGCTTTATTGTTGTTCTATAGAATTTTTCTTTTAGCTCAAGGGGAATTTTGCATTTACACAACAATCCTGATGCACTGCGCCATTTCATCCACCTTGCTCTTATTCTATGATTTATATCCTCATCAATCTCTCAACTTTTTTGCAAAATTGATCCCAGATATCTGAAAACATCTTTCTTGAGTACCTCTTGTCCAAGTAGATGCATAGAATCTTGATCTTTATCTCTTGCCAGAGAAAACTCATACTTCATATACTTAGTCTTGCTCAGGCTTAACGTAACTCCTTTAAACTCCTACGTGCTTCTCCACAATTCTAGTGCCTGTTTGAATCCTCTATTTTTTAAGCCAAAAGCTACTTATAGGCAGAAGTTAGGCCAAACAGATTTTGAATAAAGTTCTTATAATGAAAAAAAAAAGCTAAAAGCCAAAAGCTCCTAGGAGGAGCTTTTTTTAAGCCCTTATCTACTTTTCTTAAATTGTGTGCATTTTTTTGAAATAAAGAACTTTAGAGATAGAGAAAGAGAGTTTTTTTGAAATATGTGCTTTTAAATAATTTTTAAGCTAAAAATTTAAAGTACTCACCAAACATCTTTTAGTTTTTTTTTAAGCTCTTTTTTTTTAGCTTTAGCTTATAAGTAGTTTCTAGCTTAAAAAAGAGAGGATCCAAATAGGCTCCTAGTTTTCTGTTAACACCGGCCTTGTTCTCATCAATAAGCAAAATATCATCTGCAAAAAGCATACATCATGGCACTTCCTCTTGAATATCTTTTGTTAGTTCATCCATAACTAAGACAAAGAGATAAGGATTAAGAGCAGAACCTTGCTATACACTTACCGTGATAGGAAAATAATTTGATGTTCCGTTACAAGCTTTTACACGTGTAGTAGCACCATTATATATATCCTTGATTGCATATACATACTTTGATGGTACTTTTTTCCTTTCAAGAACCCACCATAAAACTTTTCTTGGGACCCTATGATATACCTTCTCAAGATCTATAAACACCATATGTAAGTCCCTCTTCTTTTCTCGATGGAGAGTAAGTGTTTTATTTCAAAGCTTGGGCTTTTTATTGTTCTTCTCTCATAGACTAGTAGCCTCACGATCATCTTCAGACTAGTCAAAATGATATTTATGATATTCCTGATGCAAATATCTGTTACTGCAACTGGTATGTTGGAGCTTGAAGTTAAAGTAGGAGCTGCTCGATTTTCCTTCATGGGTTTGTATGATCTAGGAATCTGATCTTCAGACTAGCCGAAGATGATTTGCACGATCTCCTTGGTGATATTCTAATGGTTATAACAAATTCTATGATATTCAACTTATATTTCTTTTTGTTCCAAGCATTTACTTCAACCCCAATGCATTGATTGAGTTGACAAGAGATACATAATATTTCTATTTATGTCGCAAATGCCTAATATACTTTTTTGAAGACAAAAAAAATATAAATGCCTAATATTTCTATTTAGGTCGCAAATGCCTAAATATAAAGTTCACTATATTTGTTTACTTCATCAGGATAAATATTTTGATGACGTTTAGGCATTTATTAGTTACTATATCTTTATTCGCTTTTTTCCTCAGATCTCAGGAGAGCTTTCAAATGTTCAAGATGCGTTATATAATGCAACTGGCAGACTGCGAGATCATCTTTTTTCCAGTACACAAAACAGTGCTGGGAGCCTTTCTCAAAGCATAGATCATCTTTCACTTTCTCGAAATATAGATTATCCTTCTTCACCAGGGCTACGGGCACAACAAGTATGTTGCTTTCTCTCTGCTAGCAGGTTTTCCTTTCCTAGTTTTCCCTTGTTATATGATTAGATTTGATTGCAGACGGCGGCTGGGATAAATTCTAGAGGCATCAATGATGTTGGCAGGGCATTGACTTCTCAAAAAGGCAGCTTAGAACTTGTTAGGTTGGTGATATGCAAAATAACTTTAACTTGCTTTAATGCAAATCAATTATTTGATGAGGAATAAACTATTGGCCTTCTTAGTATCACAAGATCGAAGATTTGGATAACTAGGAAGTGCTATTTATGGTTTGATTTAATCGATGTTGATTTCTGTGGCATACAACACCTTTAACTTGGTGAGATTGTGTGTTTGTGCCAATGAGTTCATATTGTGACATTTTCTTATAGACAATTAGTTCTGTTGTCCCATGTAATCTGCTGTCTGGTGGCAAATCATTACACTGGACTAGCCTCTTTTATTTTATTCGACCTTGACCTTTATGGGATCATTGTCTATTTGCTATTATTTGGAACCCTGGCATTGGGTGAAGTTGTAAGACTACCATAACATTGTTTCTAATGCCAACAAAGGTTGGCTCACTTGGATGACTTTCCGTATCATGACAGTTGCATGACTTGGATACGAATCCAGGAGTCCCCATTGGTACCCGATATGTAATCGGGTGTAAATTATAGCTGGTGTGTCTTACCTTTGGAATGGGGAGAGCCTCCCCTCGCCCTAAAAGCCAAAAGAAAAAACAAAGAAGAAATAAGAGTGGCTACTGAATGAGTGGTGGAAGTAGCCACTGGAGCATATATAACAAGATGCCTTAAACTGCAAAGTTCTTATTATACTCTCTTGTTCTGCAGTGGGAATAAAACTGCCGTTGTGACTAATACAACTGTGGAAATTGTGGTTCCTGATGATGTTATTGGCTCTGTATACGGAGAAAATGGTAGCAATCTGGCTCGATTGAGACAGGTATACATACTATATCGGATAAGTTTATAGACATATGCTTTATTCTTTGTTTAGTTGCTCACAAGCTCCTCATGTTAATCCTTGTGAACTTGCATGTGTGATCACTAATTTGATTTCATAATTGTTTACTTGTTTATAAGCTTGTTACTAGAGGAAAAATATGCAGTGGTACTGAAAATACTTGATGGTTTGGAAGCATTGTATTATCTTGTGCTTCTGTATTTTGGTTTGTATATGTGGCATTTTTATGGTGAAAAATGGGACTTGTTACGAAGATATTCTTGGAAGGCATTCATTAACCCTCTTTTTAACTTAATTCTGTTCTCATAATCAGATATCAGGTGCCACGGTTATTGTCCATGAACCTCGTCCTGGAACAAGTGACAGGACTATTGTCATATCCGGTACACCTGATGAAACCCAAGCAGCGCAGAGCCTTCTCCAAGCATTTATTCTCAGTGGTTCATCATAATGACAATATCCCCCTCATCGATGTTTCATTGTTGACTGTCTTAGTTTTTTTTTTTTTTTTTTTAATTTATTAAATCCTCTTATCCTTCTTGACTCCACCTGAAATAATGTACATAATATATAAGGAAAATATCCAAGCCATATATCAACTCAGGCAGCTCGAGGACGAGTTTTGGAATAGCAGTAAGGTTATTCTTTGTAATTGAAAAGTTATGGGTTCAAATTTTGGAAAAAATCTCTTTGTGAAAACACAAAGGTAAGATTATGTACAATTGACACATATCCTCACCAGTCAAGAGCTTTGTGCATCGGGATTTGTCTTTTATATCAGCTTAGGCAGTTCACTGTATTGTAGTGTACTTATTTAAACATCAGTCTCTTGATTTATTAGGTAGGGCATACTTCAGGAACAGCGAGCTCTTTCATCCAACAGGTTTTGCCTTTCTTTTTCCAGTTCCTTTTTGAATTATTACCCTGTTAAGGATGACTGTCTTAATTCAACTATTGTTTGGATTCTATTTCATATGATTTTAGATGATCTCGCTTTAAATACCTCACATTTTATTGTCCGTGATGAGCGTATGTAAAACTCTGGATTCAATTATATTGCAGTAAAAGTATATTAACATCAAGATGATTTTTGCATAAATTTTAATCGTTCTAGGGCTACATTGTACAATGGGTAAAAATAAAGGTAATTGTTTCTGCTTCAAAAAAAAGGAAAAAGAGACAATGTATTGCATAAAAAGACACTACCCACATGTGTTGGTGTTAGCATTTGATACATACTTAATAATTTACCTCAAACCGAATGGTAATCCGAGGAGATACATATCTGAAGTCGTCTCAACGCAAGCACGTATTACGCAATCAAGTAAAATAGTAATATAACAGCCATAAAAAACAAGTTTGTGGTTCAAGCAGCAGCAGGTGAAGGATTAAGAGTGATTTCCACATTATCATGGACACCTTGAAGCAGTAGCTCACCATCATATGTCACTACTTTACGCTTTTTCGCTGCTCTTAATGTCCCAACAAGTGCTTCAAATATATTTGCGCATTGATCATCATTAAACAGTGTTCCAAATGTAACCTTCACAACATAGACATATTTTGTTCATCTCAAGAAAGCAGAGGTATATGCTATGCATTAGAATATAATAGATCAGCAAAACAAGTTCACCATTACTTGCTATGACTTAATGGAGATGTCCAACTAGAAAACACATTTCCCTTTAATATAAGCAAATTAATACATATAAACAGAACAAACTGTCTCAGGTCTCTCCACCCACTCTTTCCATTATGATGATGAGTCGTTTTTAATATTAACAACAAAGCCAAATTTTTATTTTTATGATGCGCTAGGATGAAGAAGACCTATTGAACAAGCTTGGATCACTAAATATTGATAGGCTGTTTCAGTGCTTACTCCAATGCTTCATCAAATTGAAAAAGGGTCACCGTTTTCTATTTTGCTGACCAGATCAATCTTGTACTTAACTGTTCCCACATGCTATCTCCATTCCCTTGTTTGAATTCTTTACCTTAGGAAAAAAAATGATACTCGCCTTTGTGCATCCAAATGTATCTATAGATTTCTAAGGATATTTCACCTGTATAATAGATATTGGTATATAGTTTCATTTTATTGTTAGCAGGTAACATTAGGGTCTTTTTCACACCCATCTACTTTTTGGTCACGTTAGGGGAAAAGAACATGTGGAAAACTGGCTGAGGAACATATTTCCCTCAGCATTCATTTCTTAATACATCCGAACAAGAAGATTGGATGAACCCTTCCTTTCTTTCCATTCCATTCCTCCAAATCTATGCACACTGAAAGACGGTTTGAATCAAAAGTTTTCATAAGGTAAGGAGTTTATCTTCCTAACCGTTTTATTATCAAGGCAAATCCATGCAATTGGCATAACCAAAACTCTTATCTCACTCTCTGTTTTTCATTCCAAGGCTTGGGAGATAGGCCTAGATCCTACGAAGATAAAATAAACTAGTAAAGATCCAATTTTGTGAATGACCCCACAATCCCCATAATTGACCTCAAGATCTAGATCCATAAGAAATAAGAAAATCATCACATTTTGCAAACACCATCATATATTTATATTTATCAATATCAGGATCTGAGTAAACTCCTTAAAGGGCTATCTAAAAGCATGTATAATATAAGGGAGAAGGGGGTGAAGAAATTGTGAGCTTAAATTTCCATATTTATAGATTCATAGGAACATAATGAAGAAGATTGAAAGATGAAGAGAAAAAAAGAGGAGTCCTTTTGTTACACCTTGTAAGAACCATCTGTTTGGGCATTGCCAAGCCTTATGATTTCTTCCCTTAACCTTTGAACCTCTTCTTCTACATTCATGGTTGCAATATCTTCTCCTCAGACTAGGACCACCAAAAAGAACAAAATATCCCTTCCTTCCTTTTATGATGTTTCTGTTCAGCCTAACAGCACTTTATACTTCCATTCATACCTTCTATGATAAAATGTGTGGTCCACTTTGATAGAGTAAAGTTTAAGTAGTAAATAGTTATAAAGATATTATACCAATAGACTCTTTTTGGATAGGCACCGAGATTTGAACTAATAATACTCAAATCATTCACTACCAAAACCAATCTTAGTGGCTTATACAAATAGATTCTAAATCCATAATTTGTTATTGTTTGATTGTGTGTGTGAGTGTATTCCTCAAAAGTGATAGCTGATGAATGACGAACGTAGAAATGTTTGGTTTAAAATTTTAGTAGCTTGTTTTACAAAATTTAAATAGAAAAATTCATAATTTTATAATCAAGTAAATTCTTTTTAAAATTTATATAAAATTGCATTGTACCTTCTTTCATTAATTTTATATACTATTTTTTTTTTTTTTTTTTATCTTTTAAGAAATTAAACAGTCGCTTAAATTAGATATAACCATTTCAATAGTTGAGCATATAACCATTTCAATAGTTGAGCATAGATTGTGTAAATGAAAATCTGAGAATCCACTCCGATCTAAAAATAAAATCTTGTTTACTTAAATATAAATAGTTTTAATTAAATTCAAAATATAATAACATAAATGCATATAGATTAGATTTGTCTGGACTTAAATAGTAAATTATATTATTTTTTAAAAGATAATAGATTTGGAATTTAATTTTGATTCCAGGTCTTTACATCAACTAACAAATAATTCCACCTGTTAAATTAGCTGGCATCTTCAAATAGTATAAAAAATTTAATTGCAAATAATTAATGCAAAACAAATAAAAACATAGTTTAAAATCTTCTATACATTGTAAAATATAACTTTAAGGATATTTAAAAAAAAATTATTGAGCATATCTTATTAAAATTAATTTTGTAAGGCTATTTAGAGGAACTCTTATCAAATATTAATTTTGATTCCATTAGAGTTAACTTAATTTGAAAAATATTAACCAGATAAGAATAATAATTGTGATATTAACGCAAGTCTGTTTTTTCTGATGTTATTTTAGATAACTTTATCTAATGTTCATCAAAACGATATTGTTTTGGAATGAAAATCATAGTATTTTTGTAATTTTAATTTATTTCAGGGTTATAATAGTCTTTATCACTCTAATTTTTTAATTTTTCAACCTCAAAACGACGTCGTTTCGATGAACATTAGATAAAGTTATCTAAAGTAACATCAGAAACATTTTTTCCCATTAACAAAATGAATTAATGTTTCTCATGTTATACGAGAAATTTTTATTTCCTATACACATAAAAGTGTTTGGACATATGAGAATAAAAGAGAGAAAAAAATACAAGCCCAGCATATTTTGATGTGTGTAATGAGAAACATTATTCCCTTAATAAAATCAAGGAAAAAAAATATAATATTACTTTAGATAATTTTATTTAATATTCACCGAAATAATATCTTTAAAAAATTAGAATAATAAAGACTATTATAATTTTAAAATAAATTAAAATTATAAATATAACAATTTTTACTTTAAAATGATATTATTTAAATAAATATTAAATAAAATTATCTAAAATAACTTTAGAATAAATCAATCCTAAAATCAATATGAATAGATTTTCAGAAAAATATTTCTGCAGTTAATACAGATAAATTATCTGTATTTACTTCTAAAATAATGTCATTTTAGGATTGAAAAATTAAAAAATTATAATTATAAAAGCTATAATAACTCTGAAATAAATTAAAATTATAAAAATACCATGAATAATGTCGAATTGGACTTATTGCGTATATGTAGAAAAAGCGAAGCCATAGATTTTATATAAAGAGGTTTGCATTTGTCATTTAACATGACACAATAAATTTTCTTACACACACAATATTTGAGGGCAAATTACGACACACGAGATAAGTCTCTATAATATTAGACGATTACTTTTCATAAAACCCTTGTATAAAACATGATATGCATAGCAGAAGAAAAGGAGAATGGATTGAAAATTTGAAATCGTTAGTTTGGTGTGTGAGAGAAAGAGAAAGAGTATTTCAGTGGCAGTCTCTCCTTGACTATTGTGTCTTGGAAACACCACTCAATATTTTTCCATTTCTATTCTATTCTTTTCTATTCCAATTTCTCTCTACACTTTCACACTCTTCTTCTTCTTCTAGGGTTCCCAAATAAACCCCCCTTTCAATTCCTTCACTGAAAGTTTCTCTTATTACTGTTTGGAAAGTAAGAAAGTGAGTTATGCTTGAGAAATGGATGGGGTAAAGAATCCAAGTGAGAACGGGGAACACAATCAGTTGGTGGTGGTTCCCATGCAGGTGGATGGGGTCCACTATGTAAACGGAGCTTCAGGTTCTGATGAAGGGGAAGAAACTCCACCCACTGCTTCTGCTCTGCACTCTCGAACCAGTGAACTCACCGTTTCTTTTGAAGGCGAGGTTTATGTTTTCCCAGCGGTTACGCCAGAAAAGGTTCCATTTTTTATTTTTATTTTTTTGCATCCTATACGGTTCCTCTTATGCTTCCAATTCTTACTTAGAGCTTAGTACATTTATTTTATTACAAAATTACCTTATTTCAATTATTATTGAGACATGACTTGGTGTTGATTTTGTTTCTTTCCCCACCGATCAGTTGGCAATTTTCTTGTTTGAATTTAATATGCAATAAGTGTGACTGTAAGATTGGATAGTGGGTTTTCTACAATATGTGTGACGACGCAGTAAAATGTTGTTAGAAATATAATATAATATAATAAAAAAAAAAATTGTGTGCCTTCACCAAACAGTTTAAGCTTTTGGGTGAGTTGGTTGCATGAAACATTTTCTTCAAGAAAATGGGGGGAGGGGATAGAAGGTAATTGCTACTGTTCTCGTTCCTTCTCTTCTTTATTTTGAACATATTTCTGCTTTTAAAGTCTATTTTAACATTCTTCTTGTCTACATGTTAATGTTGAAGGGGGGGAAATGGTTAATAGATGTCGGTATATTTATGGGTGTTCTGCTGTGAGAATTTTATTGGTATGTATTTCTGATTATGCTTTAAAGGTATAAAACTTAGTTTCAGGTTTCTATTAAGTGGTCATGTTGTTTTGGTGGTTGTTATGGAGAGATACTTACAAGCAGTCATTTATATCCTGTCAACTTATTCCATTGGATTGGATGCCCCTCCCTTTAATTATGTTTTTGTTTTTAATAAACCTGCTCGACTCATGCATATTTTCAAAACTTCTATGACATCATTGGACATTTTTGGGGTTTGATTACCTCTTTTTTCTGTAATCCAGGTGCAGGCTGTATTATTACTCTTGGGGGGGCAGGAGATGCCCAATAGCGTCCCCACCTCTGACTTTTTGCTGCAGCAAAACTGTCAGGACATTAGGGTATTCTTTAGAAATTACTTTTTTTTTTCTTTTATAAATTTCATCAATAATTGTTTCTTAATATATTATTAGGTATTCTTAAACTTCTTATATATGCCAGGGAATAAATGATCCTTCCCGAAGTTCAAAGCTTTCACGGAGAATTGCGTCACTTGTTAGATTTCGTGAAAAACGGAAAGAGAGATGTTTTGAGAAGAAAATTCGATACACTTGTCGTAAAGAGGTTGCCCAGAGGTAGGGTGAGGGTAGTTGGGAATTTGACGTAGTATGGCTTGTGATTTTAATTTTTTTTTTATTGACACTTTTGTTTCACATTTTCTCTTTTTATATTATGAATTGGTTTGACAAACGTTTAAAATTTGTTAGATTGAGACAGAAAAGAAATTCTTGTTTTTTAAGCTCTTTTTTTTGTGGTTAAACAAAACTTATGAGCTGACTTGAGATTCAGCTTGCTTCACGAGTAAGCTTGCCTCCCCCTCCCCTTTCCACTCTTTCATTTGCAAGCATTTATGCGGTTTAAAGTCTACATGGGCGATTAATAATTTAGCACGTGTCTCTGTGGTTGTTTGTCGGACATGCCTTGCACTGTATTATAATATCCAGACTTTCAGAATAAGAATTAAAGGTTTTACATTTGACAGTAACGTGTTCTGCTTGTCCTCGGGATGTAGAGGCTGGTGTTCTTGAAATTGATAATATTTGGTTATTTAATAGGATGCATCGTAAGAATGGACAGTTTGCATCATTGAAAGAAGACTACAAATCTCCTGCTGAAAACTGGGATTCAAGCAACGGTACTCCTTGCCCAGAATCTATGTGAGTTTCAAAGTTGATAACTTCTATTTGAAACTTAGGGACACAATAAATTTTAATCTATTTCTTGTTGGTTCTAATATGGTTATTATTCTGTTGCACCTATGCCATTGTTAAGTGAACGGAGATGCCAGCATTGTGGAATTAGTGAGAAGTCTACTCCAGCTATGCGTCGAGGACCGGCTGGTCCAAGATCTTTGTGCAATGCCTGCGGGCTTATGTGGGCAAATAAGGTAATTGATATCAATTTTTTGGCTTAATGTGGAATGATGTTTCTTGTTATTGATTGTTGCAAGTGTTGCCCTCCAGAATCCGATGTGGTATTCCCAATTTTGTATAATTTCTTTTATAGCTTTATTTTGTACCGACTAGAACACATGGTTTAAATGCAGAAGCTGTTGTACCCTGCAATTTCATCAAACTTTAGTAAAAAAAAGAATATATATATTTTTAACCTTTTTGTCCTTGAATGTCTGCTCATATTGCCAAGTTTTTTCTCTTTAGTGGTTCGTTATTCATTTCTTTCTATTCCAAATGTTTGACTCATTTGATGGGTCTTTAAGATTGTAACTCATGATAAATACTACAGTATTTGTTGTACCATAGATGAAGAATATAAGACAGGAAACTGAAGAGATATTACTGTGTAACTGTTGGCATACTAGACAAGTGATATGTATCTTAAGCTGTTTATGATTTGAGCATAGGGCTTTTGTGTCAACTTGATGAATATTATTTATGGTATGCACTGTCATTGTGCTTCAACCAGAAGAATGACAATGTTTCTTCTGTTAAACATCTTATCTATAGTGGTTATTTGTCAACTCATTACTATTGTCCTGGAATTGTGTGAAAGGTGGTTATTTTGTATGCATGAATTATCGGGGCCATGCAGAAATAGTTTATTATCAATTGAGAAATTTCATGTTCCTACTTCCCTTCTTGCCTAAAATGACTCGGGCAATCTTATTTATAATATCCAATGACTGATCTTTATTTTTTTCCTTCATTGATTTGAAGGGAACTCTGAGAGATCTCAGCAAAGCAGGAAGGACTGCCTTTGAACAAAATGAACTGGTATTTTTTTTATTTTATTTTTTTTCAATTTTCATATTGTCATTGGACAATTTCTTGTCTTCCATTGTCATACTTTTCCTATTATAAAATAAGCAAGAATAGAATATATTGTCTTCCTGCATTACATTTAAAGAATAAAAGAATCAACAAACTCTCCTTAGGTATGTCTGCCACACATAAAGATCCTGTTTGTGTGTAACCTGAATGGATTTGGATCCTCGTATGCTCCCTCATGTCCATATCATTTGATGAGAAAGGTAGACAAAATGTCCTGTTCAAGAAAAACTATGGGACCCCTGCACCTGGCATTGGGTCTACCTCTCTCATGTAATGACTTGGTCATGTCATGGCCTCACATGAGATGATCCAAATCCAACCAGGATATATGTATGCGCTGGTACTGCATTACTACAGACTTGAAGGAGTTGGGTTTGAGTTGGGATTGATATACGAACCTGCACTGTTTCCCAAAGCTGGGACAAAAGTTCAGAGGAGGTTTGATTTATACATAGAAATAATATGCAGAATTTTTGTCATTAATGGTTGTACTTTATAATATGTAAGAGCCAATAAACATAGAAACATTCTTATTATGATACAACTGTTCTGCGAAATAGTTGCAAATGAAATATATTTGGATGTGTTAGGAGATGACATCACAAAATTTTTGGCATGGCATTAGGAATGATTCGACAATAATTCCTATGCAGAAACAGCTTGTGTCTCTTCCCTACCCTTGTTTATTAGAACTACTTGCCCTCAAAATCCAAAGAAAAGTACCAAAGTTAATCTGTAATTTTGCTCCTAGTGGTCTCCAATTTGAAATTTCTTCTACATGATCTGTGCTCAACAGAATATGTTTGGAATTTCAAGTCTAATAATATTCTGTTTATTTTAAGGATACTTCAGCTGATATAAAGCCTTCAACAACAGAACCAGAAAATTCTTGTGCTGACCAAGACGAGGAGGTATCATTTTGTTGTACTTTTCTTTAACAAATTAATAAAGACTTTCTTTTGTTGATATATGAAATGTAACTTTTCTTTATTTTTTTTTATTTTCTTGTGACCTTGGTGGTCTCTAATGAGTAAAGCCAGTTCTTCTTAGGATAGGGTAGTTGGTTGAGAAAATAAGATAGAGATATTATGTTATCACTTAGTAGGGAAGTAGTTATCTGATAGGGTTGTTTCCTCCAAACACAGAAATCAACACAATGAACAAGTATTTTGGTTCTGGAAATCCGGAGTTTTCTGTATATTAATGAAATGCAAAATAACTACAGAGTCGATTACAACGCAGCGACAAATTAACAACAGTAAACGATTACAAGAACTCAGAATTACTCAAAGAAAAGTAAATGTGAGTGACTGATAGTGTGAGACGTTCGAGAGGTCTCACTCTCTCCCAAGATCCTTTTCCCATTCTATTTTCCAGCCCCCTTTTCCTTGCTGCCTCCCCTCTATATAACAAACTCAATGACACTCACGCTCTATCTGTTGGAGGGCATTCTAGTCAATAACTCCACTTGTTACAGCATTGCCAATTGGGTCGTTTATTACATTTGAGGCCCAAACCATGGTGGGTCCGTATCATTATCAAATAAGATAGAGATATTCTGTCATCCCTCAGTAGGGAAGTAGTTACTTCACCGTGTGCTCTGTTTTTAAATAGGAGAGTAAATATCATAGGAAGGTATCGAATGTGTTTTGGTTGCCGCTCAAGGATGGTCTAGGAGAGTCCATGTCTGGGAGCTTAGCTCTTGTTTCTTCTTCTTGTAGTTCCATTTTTATCAATAAGAACCTCTCTTTCCTAGATAGGGTAATCCAAATCCTATCAGTCTCCTTTATTTTTTTACCAATCTTCATTGATGGATCTTTAGAATAGTCCTTAAAAGAGCATGAAAACTCTTCCAATTTTTTTTTGTACGTTAGTAAATTGTTTTCTTTGAGGGTCCATATGAGGCAAATGCTTGGTTTTTCAGCTTTGTGCATGCTGATGCTGATTATTGTTCAAATTGTTTTGAGTACTCCTGTATACATGACTGAACTCTGATCCTAGTGCTGATACTGTTTCATTGGGCTGTGGGTCCTTTTGTTTTTTAATTCATCAGGGAAGCCCTGAGGAAACTAAGCCTGTGCCAATAGATTCCAGACAGTCTCCTGAGAGGACAAATGAGCAGGTTTTTATCTATTTATTTGTTTGTATTTATTACTGGATTTTTTTTTCTATATAATTTAATGGAACTATATTTAGATATGATGATGAAATTTGTCTTATTTGCTCATATGGGATTATGCTATTTAATTTTGTTGAATAGGTAATTGAAATATGCAAATTAACAATTTGATCAACTTTTGTGGAACTCAAAACGTAATTTAACATATTTTGGTATGGTCCGTAAAAACCTTGTCATTTTGAGTTTAAATAGTTTTAAAAATTAATTAAATGTAGTAGATATCATATACGGATGAGCATATCTGAGTCTCTTACAGTGTATGAAGTTCAAAACTTATTACTTTTTCCTTCCATTCAATTTCCACCAGGAGACATCAGAATTTTAATATAAAATCCCAGCCACTAAAAATTAGCAACTTGAATGTGTGTAGAGAAAAGATTAGAGATGACTAGCTCATGGGTGTATGGCACACAAATCACAAACAGCAATATCATGAGATAGAAATACATATTTCCAGCATACAGATAGATAGACCAAGTCATGTTGAGTTTTGAATTAGTGTGTTTCATGCTGAATTAGTGTCTTTAGCGCTGTGTGGATAATGATAATCGTTTTATCTATATTCCTTTGGTGTGCTTTTGTAGTTATTTGACTTTTTGATTTAGGTACATGAGGTGTTTAATATTATGTCAATAAATCTAATTTTCTGGTTTACAGTATGTTCTCGAAACTGCGGAAGCAGTTACTGACAACCTATCCATCCAAGTGGAGAATCATGCACTTAGTCTGCATGAGCAGGTATTCCTTTTTGCTTTCCCTTCTTTTGAATCAATGATGAGGTATCCTTCTGAGAGGGTAAAGGTGACAATAGCCCCAATATCAAGACATTATTTGAGAATTGGTATGTTATACCTTTGATGATTACAGGATACTCTTGAGGATCTTGCTGATGCTTCTGGGACCGAATTTGAGATTCCTGCAGGTTTTGATGAGCAGGTATCTGTTTTAACTGAATTGTCACGATTCCTGAGATATTGGGACTAAGCCATCAGATCTTGCTAGCCTTTGTATATTAGATACATGTTAAAATTCATGAGTATTGACTCACAGGTTGATATTGATGATTCCAACATGAGGACTTACTGGCTGTGATGACAATGACCTCCTGTTGACACACATGGTTTGTTCACAATGGAAACGAATGTGCAGTGCTGGTTCAACTAACATTGGACTTCCAGAAATGGTTTTATGTTTTATAGACAAACTATTTTTGGAAGCACTGTTAATTATATATGATTGTAAACGTATAATTTTCTTACATGAGAGTTTCTGTACATCCCATTGGGATCAGATTTGATTTATATAATGTGAATAGTTCTGTTTTTCCCCTTTGCGTCTGCATATTCAACACTGATTTTGCATTCCTTACGTAACCGCTTTTCCAAGGTATGATTAGATGGAATACAAAAGAAGGCAAATATTGGGGAAAATCTTAGTTAAACACAAGTATAACATCACATTAGCACACAACCAATGATAAAATCACAACACATTAAAAATGAGACTATAGAAGCCAACTCAACAAAATAATAAAAAAGAAGCAACTCTTAGCCCATTATATTTGGCTTAAACGAACACGGTTTTCTTATTTCTTTATGAACGGACCAGAATCTTTATGGGGAATATACTCTTGGTCAAAGTAAGATTAACAAACCACTCGAATCCAGTTTTTTTACCTGATAAGGAATACCTTCTGTGAAATCATATCCTCATAAGACAATCCCTGCATATTTTTATTTTATTTTTTGAGATAATTCAATTAGTTTATCGTTTCGCAACTAGTCTGATTCGGGGTGAGTTTTAAGATTAAGACTTTAAATTTCTGTCAAAGACGGTACTTGAAAAGATTGAATACATATTCTAACCCTTATTTATTTAGTTCTCTAGCACTAACTGAACTACCAGTATTTGATAATCTTTACATAATTATAACACTTCAAAAGTCACATACCACTGTGAAACATACGAGAAACTTTTCTAGTTCAGCATTGTAGCTCTTCGAGTTCGTAATTTTCATCTAGCTTGTTAGATATTAATATAAAATTTATTAATATCATCATCACTTAACAATTTAAGTTGTTGAGTTAAATTGGTTAAGTAATTATCAGTTCAACTTCAAACCTCATCACCCTATTTTACTTTATTGAAAAAAAGAAAAAAAAATCATGAATTGACTAAATTAATTAATTAATTTTATTCAGAAATAACTCAACCAAATTCGTGACACTTAGAGCATGTTTGGTGTGATGTATAAGACTTGATAATATAAGCTTATACTATACGTTATGACATTTTCAGTTGTTTGGTGTGACCATCGTATGGTATAAGCTTATATAACAAAATCCCTTAATACATCAAAATGATATATAACTTAATCAGACCTATGAGGTTGAGATTAAGCCTGATAAAGGGTTGATGTATTAATATTGCTTACAAGTACAATTCTCAAGAACTAATATATCATTTCAATATTAATATATTAAAATAAGTTTTTTATTATATTAATTTTTAAAATATTGGAGGATATTATCTTATACAATATCATATCAAACGCTGGATAGTATTAAAATTTAATCAGGTCTTATACAATCAGATCTTATACTATAAGGTTTTATACTATCAGGCTTGATCCTATACTATGCACCAAAAATTAATATTATATGATATTTTTGGAAGAATTATATAATTCTTTATTAAAGGATATTTTTATTAAAAATATTTATTTTTATCTTATTTAGTATTATGTCGTGCATTACCAAATACTAGATGATATTATCTTATACAATATATTATTTTATACAATACCTTGCCAAATGCTGGATAATATTAAAATTCAATCAGGTCTTTTTCAATTAGATCTTATACACTCAAATCTTATGTTATCAGATTTTATATCATCATGTTATAATATCTTAATGAAAAAAATCATTGAGATATTGTATAAAATCTTATATTCAGCTAAAGCTAACATTACAGGAACAGTGGCCAAAGTGCCACTGTGGGCAAAAAAAAAAACCAAAATGTCATGCCAACAGTAAATTTTGCCAAAATGGCACGTGGCACATTTCGCTACACTGTGTAGCGAAATACGTGTGCAAATAATTCGCTACACGGTGTAGCAAAATATACCATGTCAGAACCAAAAATGCCATATGTCAAACAGGGAGAATTTCGCTACACAGTGTAGCAAAATTCTCCCTGTCTGACACGTGGTATTTTTGGTTCTGTACATTTTGACGCGGCATATTTCGCTACACCGTGTAGCGAATTATTTGCACACATATTTCGCTACACAGTATAATGAAATATGCCACGTGATATTTTGGTAAAATTTACTGTTAACATGACATTTTGATATTTTTTTGTGCCAACAGTGACCCTTTATCCACAGCTCCAACATTATATATTCATACTTTGTTTTCTGTTATCGCAAGCGTTTATCTATGCATTATTACTTCGAACTGTTCAAATCAAATCATTCTTGGAATTTTTTTTTTTCGAGAATTGTGATATTATTATTGGACGTTGAACCACAAATTTATGTGGAGTGACATACAAATAAAAATAGGATTGTTATTATTTTTATTTATAAAAATAAAAATTGTAAACTGTGTGTGGAAGTTCGTTCCCCCGCACCGTACTTGCCTAGCAAGAAATTACCTTCTCATATATATCAGCCACCGTTCAAAAACCTGTTCCGTTCACCGCACACCACACAGAGAGACGCTGTGATAAGCTACAATCCCCACTCCGATCGAGAAAACCCTAACGGATGTCGGAAGAGCCGGTTGCAGCTTCTCCATCGGCGGCGGCGGCTGCTGCTTCCGCCGCCGCTCCGCTGGGTTCGTCCGTGATCTCGCTGGTGAACAGGCTTCAGGATATCTTCAGCCGCGTCGGAAGCCAGTCCACCATCGACCTGCCGCAGGTGGCGGTGGTCGGCAGCCAGAGCAGCGGCAAGTCCAGCGTCCTTGAAGCCCTCGTCGGAAGAGACTTCCTCCCACGCGGCAACGAAATCTGCACCAGAAGACCCCTCGTGCTTCAGCTCGTCCAAACCAAAGGCTCACAAGACGAGTTCGGCGAGTTCCTCCACTTGCCTGGTCGCAGGTTCCACGATTTCTCCCAAATTCGAAGGGAAATTCAGGTTCATAAACTGGCTTTCAATGTTTTAGGCTTCCAAATCAGTTCAATTTCAGATTTGCGTGTTTCATTCTATTGCTTAATCATTTTTTGTTTGTTTGTTTGTTTGTTTAGGCTGAAACTGATAGGGAAGCTGGAGAGAATAAAGGTGTTTCGGATTTGCAGATTCGTCTGAAGATTTTTTCGCCTAATGTTCTTGATATCACACTTGTGGATCTTCCTGGCTTAACGAAGGTTCCTGTTGGTGACCAGCCTTCGGATATTGAAGCCCGAATTAGAACAATGATCATGTCATATATCAAAACTCCCACATGTCTTATTCTGGCTGTCACTCCCGCAAATTCTGATTTGGCCAATTCTGATGCTCTTCAGATGGCAGGAATCGCTGATCCTGATGGTGAGCTTTCGCTGAGTTGTGCCAAAAATAGTGATCTTTTCAAATCTCCGTGATTGGTTTTTTTTTTTTATATATATATATATTTTTTTTAATTTTTTGTTTTTCTGTTGCAGGTAATAGAACGATAGGTGTGATCACAAAGGTTTTGTATACTCTTACTGACATACAAATGTACTCGTGAAATTTGTTATGCTGTTTCCATGTTCTGACAAGTTTAAGGAACGTCTTGTTTGGACTGTAGTTGGATATCATGGACAGGGGTACTGATGCCCGGAATCTGTTACAAGGGAAAGTTGTTCCCCTTCGACTTGGTTATGTTGGTGTTGTAAATCGTAGTCAGGAGGTAATGGTGTTATCCTACTGTAATGAAGACATTGTCTGATTACAGTTAACTTTTGCATGTTTCCATCCGTTAAAATTAGTGGTAATTGAGTGCACACACACAAGGGCGCTGAGTCTTCACAGACAAATATGAACTTGTAAATTGATTGATTAGCATGGAGGTCAACATGTAATGCTGAAATTTAGTTGTCTGTTTTCTTATCAAATTAGGATATTCTAATGAACCGGACTGTAAAGGATGCTCTTGTTGCTGAAGAGAAGTTTTTCCGCAGCCGTCCTGTAAGGAAATACCATTGCTTAGTAATATTAAATACATTTCACTTCTTTATACTGATTTTATTTATGATATTGATAGATATACAGTGGTCTAGCAGATAGTTGCGGTGTTCCTCAATTGGCAAAGAAGTTGAACAAGGTAGAGTCTTTGCAGTGTTGACAACACAAATCAACGTTTTTTATTTATTTTGTCTCAAATACTGGCCTTAATTACACCTCCTGCTTACTTATACAACTAAAAGAGCTAAGTTCTTAGAAATTCTCTAAAAGATCAAACCATTATGAATTCTTATGAGATTCCAGTTTCGGGACTTAAGCATGTCATATGTATAATTTGCTTCTACATCTCTTGCAGATTCTTGCACAACATATCAAGGCTTTGCTACCAGGGCTGAGAGCACGTATAAGCACTTCATTAGTCACGCTTGCAAAAGAACATGCAAGCTATGGGGAAATCACAGAGTCTAAGGTATGTTTTAATATTTGTATTTGTCCCCATGACTCGTTAAATATACTGTATAAGAATTCTCCTTGTTGTAATCAAAAGCAACTTGTTTTTGACTCTGGCTGGCCATTTAACATATTTTATCTATAATTCCTCTTCTCATATAGGCTGGACAGGGTGCTCTTCTCCTGAATATTCTTTCAAAGTACTGTGACGGTACTTAACTGTCCCTATTATCTGACTTCTTTTTCCTTCTTCAGCTTTTTACATTTGTTAACTCATTCCATTTCTTTCATATCTGTAAATTGGTATTCCACATATAATTACCTTCCAAATACAGTAATGCTATCTTTTTTCCTTTGTTGAAAAAACAGCATTCTCCTCCATGGTTGAGGGAAAGAACGAGGAGATGTCTACATCTGAGCTATCTGGTGGAGCACGAATTCATTATATTTTTCAATCCATCTTTGTGAAGAGTTTAGAGGTATACAATTTTGTATTTATATGTGATAGTTTTTAAAAAAAATATATCTACTCGTATGCAATGTTCAAATTAGGGATGGCAAATGGGTAGGTTAAATTAGACCATTAACCCGTTTATAAATTGATTGAACAAAACAAGCACCCAACTAGCCTATTATCTATTTGTTGTAGCGGGTGCCCTTCCCATTCATTTATCTCATTTAATGGATGGATGCTCAACCACCCAATATCTGCCCATTTTGTATCTTTTTCAAATATTATTAAAATTAATAATAATATCAAGTACTATTAATCAAATTGATGATTTTTTAATCAGTAAAATCTTTTTTTTTTCTTTTTCAAATCACATGATCATCTATTCATCTTGTTTTTGTAAGTAATGAACTAAGTTCTTCATTTTGAGTTGTTTTTATGGTCCAAGAGCAAACTATGCAGCGTACACATTGAAATCCAATTGAATGATTTCAAGGGAGAAGGAAAAATATAATAAATTTCTTGTAATCACATTTATATCGTGTAAACTTTTAGGCATCAGGGAAAATATACATTTGACTCCATGGAACCCAATCATTGTGTTGCTGTGTTCATTTCTTCGTAGCTAGTTCCTGAATCTTATTCTATAACGCAACTTAATTTTATCTTGTAGGAGGTAGATCCATGTGAAGACTTGACTCATGATGATATTCGTACTGCCATACAAAATGCAACTGGACCCAAATCAGCACTGTTTGTTCCAGAAGTAGGTCTTATCATCTTAAATTTTCTTAGTTACACCTAAGTCTTATGTTTTCAAATTTTCTTAGTTGAATTGACGTTCTTATCCTATCAATTATGAAAATTTATTTTCCAACTGAAAAACATACTTATCTATTATTTCCATGTAATTAGGTCCCATTTGAAGTCCTTGTTCGAAGGCAAATATCTCGACTATTGGATCCAAGTCTTCAGTGTGCCAGGTTTATATATGATGAGTTAATGAAGGTAGGGATTTATGACTTACAATTTCTGCCGTCTCACTTCACCATCATACAAGTATGTGCCAAATTAAAATCTCTTCTCTTCAGATCAGCCATCGCTGTATGGTGACTGAATTGCAGCGGTTCCCTTTCTTGAGAAAGCGCATGGATGAAGTTATTGGGAACTTTTTACGGGAAGGCCTTGAACCCTCGGAGACTATGATCACACACATCATAGAAATGGAGGTTCGCTGAAATTTAACTTCATTGATGTATAAAAGTATACTTGCTCCACTTTCTACTGCAATCATCATGTTAATTGTAGATGCTCAATTCAGTTGGGTACTTAGGTTACATGGATTAAACTTGGTTCCATGAGACAAATCCTACCAAAATAGTGATTTATGTCACAACTGAAATTGAGAGCTAATGACTGGAATGGAACTTATAAAAGTTTTGTTCTTATTACTTTCAAGTTTCAACTAGTCTTTACCTATCTCTTGTACATTTATTAATCCCAACTCCTCTATTCTTTTAATTCTTAATATTTTCTCACATACCAATGTAACAGAATTTTAACGGAGTTGTTTGGGTGTGGTACCTGCTGTTTGGTATGTCAAGCCTTCATTTCTTAGAATATATCTCGCTTCAAATTTCAACTGATGAGATTTAGGGTTTCAGAAACTTCGTCAAGATTGAAATGCATTTTGCCTTGGCTTGCTTACTTGGTCAACAATGGCTTGGTATTCTGTGTTTTTAAATATTGATGAATGGTGTTCTTTCTCTTGAAAATCAGGGGAAATCCATAACGATTTAAGAATATTTATAATTTTATTGAATCTAGTAGAAACCATTAAAATGCCATGAGTCAGCTTCTTAATGTGAATTGTGAGGGTTTGTCTATCCAAGTGAAATTCCAATTCTTCATCCACAATTTCTTATTCAAACTACTCCAATTTGCAGATGGACTACATAAACACTTCCCACCCAAATTTTATTGGTGGAAGTAAGGCAATAGAAGCTGCAATTCAACAAAATAAGTCATCTAGAGTTTCTCTACAAGGTTCAAGGGTGAAGGTATATATATTGTGGGCTCTCATCCAATTATATGCTCTGTTTTTCACGCTAGCTGTGAACACTAGTTCATGCTCTCTTATATTTTGTTTTGCGATTCTTTTGCTATTTTCCAATAGGATGCTCTGGAATCCGATAAGGGACCAGCCTCTGAAAGAAATGGGAAGCCTAGAGCTGTTCTTTCAAGACAAGTAAATGGAGTAATGGCTGATCTTGTATGTGATTTTATCTTGTTAAGTTGACCAGAAGTCTGGCTTATATATATGTATTTATTATCTTAGTTTAGACTTCAGAGAAATCAAGATAAGGGATACTATATTTTTTTCTGATCAATTCAATTCTTATGATTAAATAAAAACAGGGTGTTCGTGCTGCATCAGATGTTGAAAAAGTAGCATCCTCTGGTAATTTTTTTTTCCTATTTGTTGTTTTGTGTTTATTGAGGCATGTGTTTTTTTATGCATTTAATTTTTTGCTTTTCTTTTGGTTGTTTCTTGGATGTATCAATCATGGATAGCAGTGTGAAGCGATTTATCCTGCGATTGCAAAAAGCAAGATGGCTGCTATACCGATGATTCTAGTTACAAGATAACTAATATATAGTATACACATTTAAATGCTTAAAAAAATAAAAATTAAAGACATATTCATAATCAATAGTCAAAAGTCATAGTCCAAAGCCTGAACACATAATCACCATCAATCTGAGGCATAATTAACAACCCAATGTCAACAAAAGTCGAAGAGCATGAGGGGAATAAAGGTACAGCTTCAAATTTTAAATAAGTTGACGGAATTATTAAAAAAAGGTAAATAATGGAGTTAATATAATAAAAAACACAAGTGAGCTGTGGACAGAGAACAAACATAGGAACTGAGAGCGGTGAACTGTGAAGGGCTGTAACTCTACACAACTGAAAAAGAGAGAAAGAGAGAGAGACCTGCGACAGAGAGAGGGTTAAACCGTGAAGGGCATGAACAGACTCCACAGAGACCTGTGTGAATGGCATGAAGAATGTATGTGTTTAAGCAGACCAGCAAGGGATGCCGGTGTGCAGTCAGTGTGCTGGAAAATGCCAGGATTGGCTCTAAACAATGCTGTGAACAGTGGATCAGGGGTCTACGTTTGAAACAGAGGTCAAGTTTTAGTGTTTTTACGTGAATCATTGACAAGATTTTACCCATTTATAATAATAATGGCCATGGTTTTGGGAGCGAAGGTCGCAAGGCAGTGTGACAACACTATAGTGCTGCTATCGCATGCAATTGACTACCCTTGTATCAACAGGCATCATTTTTATTGTAAGTTATTAAATTTTTGAATCCTTGATATATATTTTCTCCCCAGGAAACACTGGTGGATCAAGTTGGGGGATCTCATCCATTTTTGGTGGAGGTGATAACCGTGTGCATGTGAAGGAGAATACAGCCAGTAAACCTCATACTGAACCAGTTCGCGGTGTGCAATCATCTTCTACTATTTATTTGAGAGAGGTATATATATTTGTTGACACACTCTTCATCAGCTTGATCAATATGTTAGATGGCTATATATTTTTTAATACTCTTTGGTTTATGTAGCCCCCTAGTGTTTTAAGGCCATCTGAGAGCAATTCAGAGACGGAATCTGTTGAAATCACAGTAACAATGTTGCTTTTGAGATCATACTATGACATTGTCAGAAAAAATGTTGAGGATTTTGTCCCCAAAGCAATTATGCACTTCTTGGTACTTCTTATCCTTCTTTTGTTGGCTTTGCAAAATTTTGTTTTTAATATCATATTGCAATAATAAATGTCAAACAAGTAATCTGCTTGACATTCATTGTATTTTACCTTATTTTCTATGCTACATGAGTGTTTGAACATACCTGAGTTCCAATGCATTCCATGACTAGGTAAACAACACAAAGAGAGAACTGCACAACGTCTTCATTGAAAAGCTATACAGGTAACCTATATTGGTCTATGACCTGCTAATTCAGATTTGTTCTGGGGTTTATATAAATTGTCTGATGTTACTTGCTGATCATGCTTTGTATTTTTCATTCTAACCAGAGAGGATCTGTTCGAAGATATGTTACAAGAACCTGGTGAAATAGCAATGAAAAGAAAGCGCTGTCGAGAACTGCTCCGAGCTTATCAACAAGCATTTAGGGTTAGTGTTTTTAATACTTTAATCAACAGTGTCTAACTGGTCTTCTGTATTATTTTGTTTGGCAAAGTTTGGTTCCCCGTAAAGTTAGTGGCTTTGACTTTCTGTGGAAATGTTCATAATCTTTGGTGCTCACATTGGTTCTGCTCACCTATAAAAGAAGGGGCATCCTGGTGCTGTAAAACTCCTGCTATGTGTAGGGTTCTGGGAAGAGTAAGACCCATTGTGGGTCTATAGTAGACAGCCTTACCTTGCATTTGCAAAAGGCTGATTACATGAATCGAACATGTGACGACAACACACATGTGCCAAGGCTCCCCTTTCCTCTCATATTTTTAATGGAATTTATATTTTATTTTGTAAGACAAGCTTGGTTCTCCTTGATTCTAGTTGACTAATTGATATTTGGTTCTCACATGGTAGACTCACCCATAATAGGTGGTAATTGGTTTGTCTGTATGAGATTCTCTGTGAAACCTTGATTTTCTGTGAATAATTAGGCTGTCATTCACACTGGTTGCAACATGATGCAACACTTCTCTACATGCATGCATTTGACCCATCACTGGGACTGAATCAGTTTCTGCTCATGACTTGCTGACGTATATATTGTCCAAGATTTATTCATCTTGAAAATCCATGAGCTTTACTATATAATCACATTGATTGCAAAATATGGCTGGTCTCTGATGACTGTATTTCCTCTTATTAGGATTTGGACGAACTACCTCTTGAAGCTGAAACGGTTGAAAGAGGATACAGTTTGCCTGAAACAACTGGCTTGCCAAAAATTCGTGGATTGCCAACTTCATCTATGTATTCTACTAGCAGTTCTGGAGACTATTATGCAGCTTCTCCCAAAAATCCAAAGTCTAAAAAATCTTCACATTCTGGGGATCTTCAATCACCATTGTATGCTAATTCAGATTCAAATGGAAGTGGAGGGCCATACATGTCAGGTTTTAATCCCATGGCTGCCGAATGAGCTAGCTGATTGTACTTGTTGGTCCAAGGAATTAGACTCAAGGTATTCTATTCATTTGTTTATGCTCGTGCAATTTGAGGTTTGGAACTCTTGACTCCAGGAGCTGAACTGCATTCAATTACTACTTTTTAACTAAAATGGTCTTTGAGTGTTGCCCAGTGCTTTCTTTACGTAAGTTCCCTTTTGTTCTCATATAGCGTTCGCATTATTTTTCAAGGCTCCAGAAAGAATAACAGGAGCGGTTGATCTTTCACAGTTGAGAGTCGTTTTTCACTATATTTCATGTATATTACTATTACCATTTTTTTTTGGTGGCTAGCCAGATATTGTTCATAGCAACTTCTCAGGTTATATAACCTACTAGTATGCAGTTTTACATTTTTGTTCGCCGCAATGACAGACGTGTTGGCCACGTGAAATGGATGGCATTATTGATTTTTATTTAACTTTCCCTTTGTATTTGTTTTATCGTTGTTACAATTGCTTTAAAGAATTTATTCATCGCACTGTGGACAAGTGTGACGCTGTTCTTAATACTAATTCATGTAGGAGAAACGAAAACCAAACTGCTAATTATGTGTTTGGTGTCTCATTTGGAAAGTCCTATGGTTTGGACAGAAACACGACTTTTTAAATTTTTGCCGAAACTATGGTTTTGGGGAACCAAACACGCCATAAGACCTCGACTGCATAAATTGTGGAAGTAAAAAAGTTAAAAAAAATTGAAAAAGAAACTGCAGCATATGAACCTTGCAGCTGCGGAGGAATCAGTTTAGCATGGCTAGGGTATGTATCGTTTTATTTTTGGGAAATAATTATTTTATCTTGCATAAGATAATTATTTTATGCTATTGGGATTCATTATTTTATTTTATTTTTAAAAAAGGGATTGACACTGATATTGATATTGATATATGTGTAGTAAGCAATTCTTATCTCCTATTAAAGGAGAAAAACATTGTCTTTTTTTCCCATCACATTGTGGATAAATGTAAGAACAATGTAATTCAATAATAAACATATATACAAAAAATAAAAGAAAAATAAAGAAACAATTAGAGAGTAAAAAGAACGTAATATTTTGGACATGAACAGCTACAAACATTTTTTTTTATACGGAGGACAAGAGCTCGCATCAAATGCCCGACGAACAGTGAGTTATTGGGCAACCTTTGTTTTCCTTGCGCTATGCCCTCCAAGCTGGTGATTTTCTGGGTGATAACTTGCCCATAAGGCCATAATTCTGCTTCAGGAGGTCCAAGGTCACAGCAGAACTAGCATTTTAAAACAACTTGCTCTTTATTTATTTTTAGTGTGAAGTTAAATGCGCATTTCTTCTTGGAGTCTTACATTGAAATCTCTTTTAAAAAACAATTAAACCTCTTTTTAATAAATTAGAGGTCGAAATTATTTGTTTTATGAATTTTTTATTTTTAAATTAGTCTAGCAAACCATGCCTTCAGGAAGAATGTTTAAGTTTAGGTAGTAAACAAATGCTGGTAGCTCAGTTGGCGCATGGGAGCTGAGCAGCTGAGAGTGAGAGTATGTATTCAATCCTCCCCAGTACTATCTTTGGGAGGGATTTAAAGCTTTAATCTTGTATCCGCCCCGATCACCTGTGGATGATACCTGTGGTTTATAAAAAAAGAGAGTAAAATCTCTTTTGGATCCCTAACAAAAAACACGGTCCTCACTTTAGTCCCTTACAAATAAAATCAGTTGTCTGGTTCCTATGAAATTCAAAATGGACCTATTTTAGTCCTTTTGAGGGACTAATGTGGGTCTTTTTGAATTTGTGAGGGACCACGATTTTAACTAAATGGGTCCACTTTGAATTTCTTAAGGACCTTAAGACTAATTTTTTTTGTGAGGGACTAAAGTGAGGACAGTATTTTTTGTTAGGGACTCAAAAGGAGCTTTACTCAAAAAAAATGTTTTAAAATCCTAATCCTACAATCCCCACTCCGATCGAGAAAACCCTAACTAATGTCGTAGCTTCTCCATCAACAACGGCTGCTGTTGCTTCCTCCGCTGGGTTCGTCCGTGATCTCGCTGGTGAACAGGCTTCAGGATATCTTCAGTCGCGTCGAAAGCCAGTCCACCGTCGACCTGCCGCAGGTGGCAGTTATAACACCTCGTATTTCTAAAACACATAATTACATATGAAAATGTGGATTAAGGGGCAGGATTAGTGAAAATCTTGAAATTAGGGTCAAAATACATAGAAGGGTAAAATGGTAATTCGCCAAACATGTAACCCTAGGAAAGAAAAGTTGAGTATGAGGTCTCAAATGGAAAAACTAACACTGGAAATGGATTCAGAACGAAAAATTGAGTGGTTAGCCAAGTTTCTGGAAAAATTATGAATAGTATTTTTACCGGGTAAAAATATTGCGGTACAAATGCACCTTAAAACGTGTCGAATGAATTTTAAGCTCTAGGTTTGGATATAAGTTTTAAATGATACATAGGACTAGGAATATGATTTCTGGTAAAAATTGATGGAAATTAGGGTTTTTGGGGAAGCGTGACCACAGCGCGCATAACAGCTTAAAATTGTGATTTTTTCGAACGACCGGAAAACTTCGAATTCATCTTATCAAGGGCACTTAAAGGGCACTTAGTGGTGAATAGGGGTGTAAATGGGCTGGGCTTTGGCCTTCCTGGCCCAAGCCTACGTAAAAAAAAATTCAGCCTATCTGGCCTACTGGCCTATTAAAGGCTTTACTTGTAGGCCAAGCCCGACCTATTTTTAAAAATAAGAAAGCCTGACATGGCCTACAGGCCTTGTAGGCCTACCACTGTAAATACTAAGCAAAGAAAATAATTGTATAGGGAAAATAAAGTTTCATTCATGCATGCACTAGTACTTCTCATAAGAAAAAAAAAAAAACAAGAAAGAGTCAACATAATACCCCAGCTCTAGAATGTATATCATAGAGGAATAGAGTCAAAGAAATGGGGAAAATAAGAAAAATACAATTATTGGGTGTTGAAATAAAGTCTGCAAGAGAATATCATTCATCTAAAAATTAGAGTTGGTATTGGTACTGTGTCATGCCACATAAAATAAATATTATTTTATTATTTTATTTTTAATAAATTAAATAGGCCAGCCTACAAGGCTTTGGGCTAGGCTTGGCAAAATTGGCCTACGGCCTATTTGTTAAAAATGCTTTCTTAAAAGTCTAAGCCTACTCTACTTTTCTGAAAGGCCGGGTCAAGCCAGGCTTAATGTAGGCCAGGCTATAGGCTGGGCCGGGCCAGCATGGCCCATTTACACCCCTAGTGGTGAATTTAAGTGAGTTTAAGTGAGGTGGCACTTGTGGGGCCCACTCCCACTTAAGTGACTAAATGAGCACATGTCCATATTCATTTTAAAACATCATCTTCCTCCTTTATCAGCCCAAAAAAAGCAGCCCCCTCCTCCACCATTGGAGAAAATGGTTAAAACTTGAGAAATTCATAACCCATGCTACACTCAACGAAATTGAACGATTCCAAAGCCAAAGTTGCTTGGTTTTCTCCCTAGAACAAAACTCCCACCTCATTTTCGGTGTAGGAGCATTGTGGAGTGAGATATTCCTCCAAGAAATTTGTAAATTTTTGAGGAAAGTGAGACATTGGTGGTTGTTTGCTTGATTGGTTGCTTGGAGGACATTCATTGGAGGCTTAAGCATTGATTTGTGGTAAGTTTCACGACCTATTGTGGATTAATTGTTGAGATCAAATTTTGAAAACCTAGAGCATGTGTTGTGTGATTGATGTGGTTGGAGACTTTAAATTGAAAATGTGTATTAGATAAAAGTGTCTTAGAATGATGTTTTATGTTGATTGAGCTCATAAAAATTATTGGTGAGAATGTTGGTAACTTAGGCAAATTTTGATGTTGGTATGCATGACTTTGTGAAATGAATATGTTGTGGGATTGTGTAATTGAGTTGTGGAGTATTTGTATGAGTTAATTATATGATTGTATGATGTGTGGAAGTGTTGAATTGAATTTAAAACCTTTTAGTATGAATCCATGTAGAATTCAGCCATTGAAGGGAAGTAAGGAAAAGATGATTTAAAAAGTCATGTAATTGGTGTTGTGTGGTTGTGAATTGTGTTTAAATGGGTGGTATGTTGGTTTGATACATGTGAATTGGAAGTAGAATCATTGGATATGTACAAGTGTAGGAATTGGCCTAAAGGAGGATAATTGAGGAAAATGGTGTAGAGGAGTAATTGAATAAAATTAAAGACTTGAAACGATGTCGTGGTAAGCTTAGGAAGCTAATGGAACCTTGAAATAAAATTTAGAACATAGCTAGGTATTTTAGGCCATTTGGCTGAACCTATGCATGTGTGGGAAGGTTGTGGTGCTTGGTATTTTGACTTGATTGCACTATGGTATTGATATTCTTCGTGTGATTATTGTAGGTTGCCTCCCACGGACATGAACTTGGAGCTTTGAGATTAGTGGGTTGACTTTGGTCCTTGACCAAAGGGATTGTGGTAAGTTGTTATGAATATATGCATGAGTACTTTAATAAGCATGTATATGTCTTGGTTGATTATAATTGTAATGAAAATGGCCTATGTGTAGGCATTTCTTGTGTAACCAAGCTCGGTGGTACTGTGAATTGGAGCTACCAAGAGAGGGAGTTTCCATCAGGTAATCCCTTGGTACTGGGATTTAGTCCCCGTGTGTGCTCCACCATGCCCCTTGGGGGTAATTGTTGGAGGTGTATGTTGGTAGTATATTATAACATGCTCAGGCATTTATGTTTGTTAGTGGGTATATAGGATGTACTGTGTCTCTGGCCAGTAGACTGTTGCCTTCGGGCGTTACTGTCTTCCACTGGATAGGTCTCCATGAGAGAGTCCCAATTGACCTGGGGTCATGGTGTGTTATCCGTTGAGGAGCACACGAGGAAAGTCTCGGGTGTATATGGATGGAGGGTACCTTGGTTGATGTTCTGGGAACACTTCCTTGGATGAGAACCCGTAGGCTATATGCCGAGAGGCCAATAGGCCAGATGTTGCATGGCTTTGGCATTGACCATTCCAGCTTCATCGTATTTTTACTCCATATGCTTCCCTACTTCACTAAATCCCTTGCTTTATCCCTTTTTGGATGTTGTGATATATTGTTGATGTACATCTGAGTGAGCCATTGGGACAAAGTAATCTCCAGAACCTCTGGGTTACTGATATATATTCGTATATCTCACCCCGTCTTGGGGACTTTATTTCAAGTAGTAGCAGCGGGACTGAAGCGGTGGGCTAGAGGTCCATAGGATGAGCATGAGAGCTTAGAGCCTATTTTGCATTTCGTGGCCATTTGGCC